GTTTGTAACACAGTAATGTGTGTTTTGAGGCTGACTATGTACAGTTGTGCTTGTCACGCATGCACGGCGCAGCAGGGGATCCTTCATGTGAAATATGCCCTCACAACTGTAAACGCTTCAGGGTGAGGCATGCAGGATTTAGGACATGATTCAAAGCATATGCTGTGGGTATAAGGGTCTTGTTTACAGCACATCGAGGATGGCATTTTTTTGGTTTTCACATGCAGAGCATTTTCAAATGGAGRTTTTCAAGACTGCAGCTGATGTTTGAAAGCTGCTAAATAATCATATGAAAGAAGCTACGCAATGGGGGGAAAAAAAACTCCTTTGTGCTCCTAAAAGTAAACAGTGCACTTTAAAGCAATTCAGTGTTAGTTTCGTAGAGAAAATGGAATGCTTGTTTATGGACATTTTCAGTGAAGTGCGCTTCTGAAGAACTGAAGGACATCATTTTTGTCATTACTTTGTACTCACATGGTCATTGTGTTATCTGATGCGATGTACAAAATGATAAATCCTTAAGTCCCCTGTGGTAGGGGTATGAGGATGTTCTGTTRAATGTTTTTGAATGCTTTTGGTTTCAAATTTAGGTCTTAATTAATTATTGGACTTAGTGGTTTCCTAGCAGGTTTTGCATCATCCGTGATGAATGATGAYTGTTATCCTAAACATTTTTTTTAGTCATCAGAGGCAGGAATGAAACTAGTAGTGGAGATAGTGGAAATGAGTGCTCTGTGACGGAGAATGTGCTGTTTTTTATCGTATTATTGGCATTCCTTTGTGTCTTCTCAGGGTTAGCTTAACAAGTGGTAGTATTTTTCCTATACATCCAGGAAGTTGTACTTAAATGGAAAAGTGTATCTAATTCTTGTACTTTGCACATGAAATATATCACACGTGTCACTTGTCGTATTATTATTATTATTATTATTATTATTGTTATTATTACTAGACTTGGTCGCAGAAGATTTTCACAACTTATTCTGAGTGAAAAGTCCTTGTTTTCTTGTGTTTTGTGCACTGCTTTATTCATCAGGATTAAACAAAAAGAGTCAAACATAAAGTTTCAATGTAAGACAATCGGTACCTCCTCATTGTTACTTGACTCTGTCGCTGATCTCGCTTGAGGTCACTTGGAGTTCACTGAAAGTGTGCCAGCACTTCACGCTTCCATGTTTAGAACTAGCTGGGTACATTAGCCCATATCGTACTTCTTGTACCTCTGCAGAGGTCGCAGATAGTTGGCAGAGCCGTAAACGAGTCCAGAAAATGCACACTAGAGCTACACGGGAAACCATAATTTGTCCCACTTCAGTAAGACATGGTCAAGTATTTGTATTGGAAGCAGCATTTATGCTTCAAGAAAGGAAAGTCTATTWATACTCATGTCTGGCTCTATAACATGATGTTTGTAATTGTGGCTGTTWAATGTAAAGACAATAAAGTTTTATCACCGTTGGGACAAGCACCTAGAGAAACGCTTCGAAGCTGAATTTATTGTTTAAAAAAAAACCAAGCTGCCATTTGTCGTCTTGACAGAGTTATGCACATCGTGAACATATATAATTTAGTCTAACCAATCACAGGCATGCTTAAGCAACAGCCTCCTAACACATGGATGATGTACGATATGACAAGTACAGCATTCCTGGAAAGCTTTAGCTTGATTTACATTTATGGAGGAGCACAAGTAGGAATGTTCTCGTCACATGCAGCTACAGCATGTGACATCTTTGTTTCATTTTAGGATGTTAGTTTCTTGCTGTTTGTGTTGTTTTTTTTATTTTTTCAAGACAACACCCTAAATTCTTTGCCATAGCAAACACGTGTACACATTTGATCTCATCTTTCATAACATTGTGGTGGTGATCTGGGTGGTCTTAATGTGGCCGTTAAAACTCAGTCAATAACTCTGCTGTGAGTTATGTACAGTACCAAGACAATTTAATATAAGTTTATTTAGTGTTTCAATTTGATTTAAGCTTAGTGGWGGAAAATAAGATGGTCAAGTTCTTGTTTTATCAGTTACTTTAGGGGGACGGACTTGCTTTATCGTTCTCTTTGAATGTTCGTGACTGGCATATATTTTCTTTTTTTGTTCCTTGTTTGAGTGGAGGAGGGACATCTGTAGGTAATTTTTTTTAATTCTTATCCCAGATTCCATCTAAGTTTCTTTCTTTGACATGCAGTATCGCTTCCTTTTGTCTCTTTCTCCAAATTGGTGTTTTTTTTTTTTGTTGTTTTTTGTTTTTTTTTCTGTAGAACCTCATCAGTGCCTTCCCAGTTATTTCCACATTCAGCCTGTAATTTCCCTCTTTTGACGGACGGCTGCGTGCCGTATGCGAGTCTCTATAATCATCACCTGCACATCTTCTTGCCTTTACGAAAGAAGCTTTTCAACCAGAATCAGCTAACCAATAATTTTCATGTTGAGGAGAAAAATCCRAGGCATGTTTTTGCACGCCTTTTACATCAGACTTTTGCAAACATTAGCTTTAAATGTGAACCTCTGAAGAATTTCATATAAATATCTGTAAAAAAAGACTTTGGTTTGTTAAGTCATGTTGGAGCAGTCCCTAATATTATTATCTTTTTTCTTTCTTTAACCATTAATACTTCTCACTGCTCTATGCATYCAGGAAGTAATGGATTATTCAGCCTTGTTTTATTACGATCATGTGGTTAGATTTTAAATAATTTTGTCCTGCAGCTTACATTTGTGGTCACAAAGATATTAATCACATTTGGTGATTGGGATAACCGTACACATTTGTTGCGTACAGACAGTTTGAAAGAGTTTTTATCATCATCAGATATTTTTTATATGTTCCTGGATGGACTTGTGTTTTATTCATGCATGTTCTGTGCTTTTTTTGAAAGAGCAACAAAGAAGAAAGATTAATTCCCCCACCCCTAAACACCAGCATTGCCTTCTTTAAACAGGTCTGGATAGCKTCAGTGGCGCATTAAAGGGTCATTCTGCTCAAATCTGAGCAGAAGATGATTGACATTTTTATTGCTTTTAGATCCAAAAACAAACATAAAATAAATATCAATTCGCTCTTAATTACTGTAGCCTTATGGTGCGTTCACACCAAACGTGATTTCAGCATCAGGAGCATCAGATTTACATACAAAGTCTACGGTGGACGCGCTTCAATCAGCGTCGGGAAGTGCTGCGGCGCTCAAGCGCGATTAGAGCAGCGTGATTTGAACGATCTGAGCGTTCGACATGCTTGATGCTCAAATCGCTGAAGTTAGAAAATCTGAACTTTTGCAGCTCG